AAAATGTGCTAAGTCAATAAACAGAGTTGATAAAAATAAAAGAAAGATAGTCTGCTTTCCAAAGGAACAGAGCCCTGGGCTCTGAAATGCGAATCGATTTGACTGATGTAACTTACCAAAGTGTAGCCGGGCCCTTCTCCAGCCTGAAAGACATTAAAGGGATTATTAAAGTGATGGGGAGATGGAGAACTCTGAGGGTGCGGCTCAAGTGCCAAGACAGTGCATCTCACCTGAGTTAGCTGCAGCTCTTTTCAACTCTATAAAAAAAAAGAAACAAGAGGTGTGAACTATCACTGGAAATATGGAATCGACAGGAGAGAAGTTGGTAAGGAAGTTGTAAGAACATAGGAAACTTACTCAGTTCGCTCCGGAGTTTCTCTAAGGAATAAAAACCATGTGACAAATGAGAACAAGGGCTTCCACATTCCCATAATACTCCACACTCGTCCCAATCAAATTCCTATACCATATGCTCACTAGCAATACCCTGAACTTCCCCATGACGGTGCTTGCAATAGCAATGGCTCCCAGTCGTGAGCCCGGGGTCCCCAGCGATACTGCAGAGGGTCAGCAAATTCTTAACTGAGCCAAACCTGATCTGCAGACTGAATAAATAACACATCTCATGCATCCAGGCAATGGCAACATAAAGTATGTAGATGTTGTGAGGGAATATAAATTCATTGAAAACTATCAATGAATTCCTATTAGATTTTCTTATGCATGGTTTCTCGATGTACAATAAAACGTCACATGTCCCAAGATTTGTTTTTGTTATAAAGAGGTTCTCATACATGAGATGGTGGAGAAGCACTACTCCACATGCTCTGTTTAATGAGGATCCGTCCACTTTAGACCCCACCTAAGGGAATGTCATGCCTCGTGATAAAGGGGTCTTCCAGATGGCTTCCAGGGAGCTACATCTTTTCTTGGTTAAACAGTTCCCATTTAGAAACTAGGGAAGAGTTGTGCAGGAAACAGAACCATGGAATATTTGAGAAAAGAGGCTTTTGAGAGCCAAGATATCCCCAACCCCACGGCTTGAAGTACCCTTGCCCCCTCTCCTCTGCCCAGGGAAGTGAAAAAGTGAAACTGAGACACCCATCCTATAGCAAAGATGTCTGCAGACGGAAGTTGGTGCCACAGATGAGAAGCAGAACTTACTGAGGGCTTTATGGAGCCTTCCTAAAAAACAGAGAAAGAGGCACGAGTGAGCAGATGCTCTGCTTTATCCCTGAGCCTAGGAAGGCTCATCTTACCACTCCATTGCCCCCACCCACCATGGAAAGGATGACGTTCCCATCAGCCCCTAGTCCAGTCACATCTTCCAAAGGGCAGACAGGGGAATCCGGTGGTGCTGGTGCCACTTTCCCGATGCCCAGGTCTGTGGTTCCTCCCTCCTCTTCCCTTTTTGTCTGGTTTCATTTCTGCTGTCTGTATTTCTGTAGGTTTGCAACTGTGTGCACATAAGTGTATGCCTTAATGCCCTTTTATAACCTACCATTTATAATATCTACAGTCAAATCCAGCTAAAGGCCAGGCATTGACTGGTTGACATGGCTTTATTATTCTCTAGAGCAACTCCCCTAAAGTCCTGTGGCGAGATTCACAGAGTAGGGGATTCCAGAAGGTTTGGGGACATATGTGTATGCTTCCTATGCTTCCGGGGAGTACTTGTGGTTTCTCTAGAGGGAGCTCCTGGCCCACATTTTCCCTTAGCATTGGCTCTGCCAGAGAATTGAAGTTACACATTTGAGTCCCCTGCCAGGGCCTTATGTTAAGGGCTGGGCATGTGTTAGGCAGTAGGCATTGGGGCAATAAGCCAAAGGAGCTTATGGTTTATTTTTTACCATTCCCACTACCAGAAGTCTTCATTTATTATGTCCTGCTGTAACGAGGTAGGCACTGAATCCTCAACAGTGTGAGGTGCATATAATTATTATCCCCATTCTACAGAGCGGTGGTCTGAGGCTCACAGGGACACGGACATTTGCCCAGGTCATCCAATTAATAAGTCACCAAGGAAGTAGGATTCAAGCCCAAGTCTGTCTGACTCCTAGTCAGAGGCCTTCGCCTCTGTGCCACTGTGTCTTCTGCTCTTGGACAGAATGGCCACAGTGTCCCTGCGATGTGCACCCCCACACTTTCACCCACTGATTAGAGATATAAGGGAGGAAAAGAGGAGACGCCCAAATCATGGCGTGTGGAACCATTTCTGAGCCAGTAATTTGCCTTCCATGCTACACTTTCAAAAGGCAGAGCCCCTGCCTCTTTTTTTGTACCCTAGGTGTCTAACATTTACCCTCCAAACATTCAATTAATAAAGGCAGAATGGCAATAAGGGAAAGGAGTTCCAGACACTGTAATAGGAGTTGCTTTTTTCTTTTTTCAAGTTGTCTCTTTTAATCCTGAAAGCAATCAGGTGAAGGGATTTTTTAATCCCTTTTTACAGATGAGGGAACCAAAGCTCAGAGGAGTAACGTAGCTTATCCAAGGTCAGTAAGTGGCAGATGACCTGAACCAGGTGTCTCTGACTCTGGAGCCTGTGACATTCCCATGCGTCACACTACCTCTTTCAATGCAGAGGCTGTATGGAGCCTTGAGATTCTCATACATCCCACATGAGCATATTCATACATTTTAAAATAGAATATAGACCTTCTTTTTAGATGATTGGTGAAGCTGATGAGGGCAGCTCATGATAATCGAGACCTATCATTTTTTACGATGAGCATCCCCTCACCCACTGCCACCAATCCTGTCACCTCTTTGTACTGAAAGATAAATCCCAGTAATATTAATGGAGGATATGTGTGTACACACATATAATGTATGTATAATAATAGACGGTCAGCATTTATGTAGAGGGAGAAAGAATATGTTACTTGTTCCCTGTCCCTTATTCTATACATATAATTACCTTTTTCTTTTGCATGGTCTGAGAGAAGATTTTCTGGAGGAAGAAAAGCAAAAGAACTTAAGATTCTGTGCCGTCACCTTGAAGGGCCCTGATTCCTACTGATTTCCCCTGCTCGTGAACCTGCCCACCCCTATCACCACCTCCACCGCCCTGACCCAGGCCCTCATCATCTCTCCTCTGGATAACGCACAGAGTGCCCCAAATTGCTCCCATATCCTGTCTTGTTCCTTCTGGTCTCTTCTCAACACCGCAGCCAGAGAGCTTTTCGAAGCACAACAGTGATCGAGATATCCCCGTTCACTGCTTTACCGCTGCCCTGAGGAGAAAGACTAAAATCCTTCACATGATCTACAAGGCCTCGCCCAGCTTGGCCCCTGCCTAACTCTGCAGCTTCGTCCCTTGTCACCTGTCCCCTCTCTCCTGCACTGTGTTTCTTTCTCAAGCTGTTCTTTTTGCTGTGGATGGTTTTCTGTTCCCTCTTCCCCCACGCCTGCCTGTCCACCAGATCAAACATCGCTTTCCCTGGGGACGCCGCTCCTGTCCCTAAAGCTTGGTCATAGTCTTCACAGCCCCCAGAACTTCCATTTGTACAGTCGTAGTTTGACATTTATTTGTGTGATTATTTAATTTATGTATCCCTCCTTGACTGGACTGGAAGCTCCGGAAAGGCAAGAACTGTGTCCGTTTTTACTCACCATTGTGTCCCCAGCACCTAGTATAGTCCACGGCACTTAGTAGACAATTATCAATTATTTGTTGAATGAATAAAAGCTACCCCCCCCCGTTAGACCTACATAACTCCCAAGAATAAGATCAAGCAATGAGTGCACAGACAAAAATCACCAAACATATGGAAGGCAAATATTACAAGAGTCAGCAAAGACCAAACGGCAGGTATGGGACCCTCCCCCAACCCCACCCCCAACCGCTGCCACCAAAGACAGCAGATGTTGGGATTTTTCAGGTACAGAATTTAGATTAGTGGGCACTGAGGACACACAAAAATGAACAAAACAGAGAACACATCCCCACCCATCTCAGGACACTTACCTACCTCCATCACTTGTTCATAGAGAAGCTTCTCTAGAAGGAAGAGAGAGAGAGCTGTCAGCTCAGCTTAAGGAAGGGCTTTTTCTAACAGGTGGAGTTGTCCAAGGACAACAAGCTCCCTGAGTAGGACTTTGCTCCTTGTCACTGTGGGTGTGTGACCACTGGAGAGTATTAAAGGGTCTTCAAACCATGAGAGGGGGGAAGGAGTATTGGAATATGTGTCTTTCAAGGTGCTGAGACCCTGCGAAATGCAACCATGTTTATCCAATGGATAGAACTGGATTCCCTAATTAATGAGAAGATTGGCATGATCAATTAATTAGAATTGTTCAAAAGATGAGAATTCACAGATCTTCCCGGGGAAGATCTGTAATATGCACTTTCTTTGATCCTCTCTGCAATGCGAGTCCCCAGAGCGTGGCTCTCCCAGTTTTCTCCCAGCCAACTTGAAGAGTCTCCAACCTATGGATAACCAGTACGTCAATGTTTCCCTCCTCCCAGGCCTTTTCTACAAAAGCCACAGTCCCACTTCCTTCCAAGCCAGGCTCCCTTACCACTTAGTTACCTTTTGATTTTCTTTGCTTCCAGTTGAGGCAAGTGCTCATCACAAAGAGAAGCCCCAGGACCGACAGGCTCACAGCCAGAACCACTACTGAGGAGGAGACCCTCTCTGGAGATGGGGCTGAAACAAAACCACCAATGACCCTTCTCAGGAGGTATCTCAGAGCTTCTCCCAGGCCAAGGGCCCCAGCTCAGATGGACGAGGGCTCAGGCACATCCCAATTGTCTCCATCACCACTAGGGAGAAAGACCTCCAGCCAAGATGGGTGAGGCTCTTTGTTTCTCTCAGTAACTCAAACCCTGGATGACCCAAGTATGACTTTAAAGTGAGATGTTCATCTCTCAGGAGTGGTTTCGATGGTCCTGCCTAAAGACAATGGGTTAAACTCAGCTTCTGAACCACAGCCTCATCTTGCCCTAGAATTCAATGGAAAAATTATCCAGCTTCTTTGGAGAATTGGAGGTGCTTCCTCAATAATCACCGGTAGTCTTCTCATGAGCACCACCTGCCTCCCCCGTATTAATCCTCACTCTGCTGTGGAACAGCAGTCAGCAACCCCTTTGCCCTGAGCCCTATCAAGCAGGGACAACACTACTTATATGTGCGCTACAGCCGCAGGCCTAAAGCCTAGGCAGGAGAGAAAGGAGAAAGGAAAGACGAAATAAAGAAAAAAAGAGGGCCGGCCAAGTGGCGCGATGGTTAAAAACTCGCTTGGGATGCCAGAGGGCCCCGGTTCGGATCCCACATATGAGGGCCAGTGACACTGCCCTCTACAGCTAGGATGCTGAACAACAGCTCAACCTGGAGCTGGGCTGCCGTGAGTTGCTGGCGACGGCGTAGGCTGCAGTCCCTATGGCGGTGGGTTGCCATGGGCTACCATGTGTAGCCAGCAGCCAGNATGGGCTACCATGTGTAGCCAGCAGCCAGCGTGAGCGGCCAGCAGCCGCAGTGAGCGGCCGTCCAGAAGCCAGCGACTGATCTGCCTCGCCAGGGAAGAGCGCAATGATGGTGCCAACTTGGGCCAGTGAAGCAGCGTCCTCCACAACTGGATTGAAGAACAAGGCGACAGCAACTTGTCTGTTCCCCTTCCCCTAATTCCCCAGCACTGTTCCCATCCCCCAATTACCCAATAAAAATCTTAAAAAAAAAAAAAAAGAAAAAGAAAAAAAGAGCAGTGGAGGCACTATGACAAGTGGTGGAGAGCCTGAGCTGGCTGTGAGTCCTCGCTCATCCGCTGTGAGACCCTAGGCACGAGGCTGAGCCTCTCCAAGCCTGGTTTGCCGCCTGCAAAATGGGAGTCATAGTAACCCCTGTCCCGTCGGGTTGTTGGGAGATTTAAAGAGAGGAGGATGTAAAGCGTTTAGCACTAGTGGGAGGCAGAGTTAGTAGTAAGAGAAGAGACAGGGACAGAGAGAGAAAAGAAGGAAGGGATTAGCAGCGGTCCATGACCCCTCCCCACCCAGGACCCCAGGCCACACTCTATCATTCTTGGCTCTAAAACCACCCTTCTCTGCCACATAGTTCCACGTTTCAAGGGTCTTTATAAAGTTCATAACCCTTTGACCCATTAATTCTACTTCTAGAAATGCATTCTAAGAAAATAATCCGAATCACTTCCCAAAATATGTGCAAAGATGTTCATTGCACCATTAATTAGAGAAAAATGGAAACCATTCTGATGTCCAGAAATAGGGCTTTGATTGATTTTATTATGCTATAACCACACAATGAAATATTACGTGTTTCATAGTATTTCAAAATCATGTTGTAGAGAACTACTTAAGGACATGGGCCAAAAAATGCTCATGACATTGTAAGAAGAAAGGGGGAAAAAAAACCCTAGGCAGAAGACTACATATACATAACAATGTACACTCAGAGATGCATGCATGCAAGAGTCTTGAAAGAAATATTCTAAAATGTTAGCAGTGGTTCTATCTAGTTTATGAGATCATAGCCTCCCCCTTCCCGCTGGTTGGTTTTTTGTTTGTTTGTTTGGTTGGTTGGTTTCTTTAAAATGTTCTGCATGTTTTCCAGGTTTTCTACAGTAAACATGTGTCATTCTTAGTATTTGAAAAATTCAAAAATTCTTTATAAAGTTTCCACTAGGGTAAGAGTTTCCTCTGGAACCACAAGGGGCTTCGAGCCTGTTTTCCGCCCCAGCTTTTACCTGCTATGAACATGGCTGTGGTCTTCTCTTGGCCAAGGTCCATGTTGCGGATGGTGCAGGACACGTTGCCCACAGCGCTGTCCCTGACCCTGCTGGACACCACTGTTTGGAAGAGCCCAGCGTCGTCTGGGGAAGAGGTCTCCAGCTCGGATGGAAGCACCCTGCCTTGAGGGTCTCTCCACTGGGCCCAAGGCTTTGGGAACCATCCCACCGAACTGCACAGCAGCTGGATCCATCCAGCCTTGTAACCCTTCACGTGGATGTAAGGCTCAGAGCCTAGAACTGGAAAGGAGAGCCTCCTGGCAGCACGTCAGCAACGCAGTGGTCCCCTGCCAGAACCCTCTTCCCCATCCCACAGTCTCCCCTGGTGAGGGGGTGAGGGGGTGAGGGTGGTGGGTGGCTGTTAATGGCACTCGAGTGCCTGCCCTCTCCCCACCTCCACCCTTCCAAGCTCCTCACAAAGGGATAAGACAATTTCTGGCTGCATCCTAATACCTTCCAAATCCATTCCTGCCAGTAATGGCATCCTATAAGTCAGTCCCTTCTAAGATTAACTAACCTGCAACCTGTAGGTTCACGGTGCCCACTCGACTCAGGTTTCCAATTTGGACCTGACATTGGTATTGCCCTTGGTCCTCCAGCCTGACGTCACGGATCTCCAGTGTGACACTGTCCTCTTGGTTGTTTCTCAACAGCGCCGTCCTTCCCTTATATTCCGGCATCACTTGTTCCTCAAGGTCTTTCCCATCCCGGAACACGTGAACCACCTGGGAGCGTCCCCGGAGCGGGGACCGCAGCCACCGCACCTCCTTGAGCATCGCGACCGACCACAAGGATAAAGGGCAGAGCAGCCTCGCTGTGCTCCCTAGCGGGGCAAGGTGGAGCTTGCTGCGGTCCCCTGCGGTGCAGACAAAAAAGGGACAACGCTGTCTGGCGGGGTGGGAGAGCGAGAGCTTGGCGAGGGAGGAAGCAGGAGATATCTTGGGGAAAGAGAGCGCCTGGGAAGGACATTGGAAAGGATTGGTCTCTGGCCAGGCCTCCTGATTCTCGGGATTCCTTGGTCAGATGTCCCAGGCGGGGAAAAGAGGTTCGGGAACTCCTACCTGACACGTGCACGGGCAGCTGGAGGCAGACCAGTGTGAAAAGGCAACTGGAGAGCCAGGAGTCAGAGGAACTTGCCGTCTCCATCTGAACTAAGAGGACAGACATGGGGAGACAGACGCCAGAGAGAGTTGGTGAGCTTGATGTGAGAAAGTGTACAACCTAGGAGGTGGGACAGGAATGGAGGCTGCACACACAGCATGGGTTCTGGAATCACACAGACCAGGGTTCAAATCCCAATTGTCACCTTCGTGTGACATTGTGACTTAAAGCCCCTGAGACTCTGTTTCTCCATCTTTAAAATGGGCACACTAACTATGACTCCTTGGAGGATGATTGTGAGGACTGAAGGAGGTAAGGACTCAACCCGGAGGCTGGCATCATGGCCTATAAATGCCATGAGAGAGGACGATGGTGGAGATGAGGTGAGTGAGGCCCAAGGGTGAGACACTGAGTGTGATATAGAAGGCATAGGGAGGAGTCTGGAAGGATGAGAACTTACACCCAGAGCTAATCTGGTAAACACCAGAGCACTGGCCTCTTTCTGCTTTTAGTGTCCCAGGCCAGGCTTGAGAGGTGCCTGTTACAAACCAATCTTCCCCCCTCAATGTGGCCTGGAGCTCTTCCCTGACAGCCTTTCCAGTTTGACTCTTGAGAAACAAAAAACCAAGGCAGGGAGGCCCCTCCATTTCATCATGAAGGCACTGATCCTACACACTCAGGTCTGGAGTTAGAAGGACCTGGGTTCAAGTCTCAGCTCATCCATGTACTAGTTCTGCTGTTCAATAACATCTGTGGGTGGGCCTCCAGGTCTTAACCTGGCAAGGCGCAGCCTTCTTCACAGGTGACTAAGGAGATAACGCTTGTAAAGCACTTGCCACAAATGCCCAGCAGAACAAGCGTTCGATAATTGTGCTACTGTTGTCATTATTGTAACTAAAATAAAAGAGGACAGTTATCCCTGGGAGGTGTGGGGCCCTAAGTGCATCAACCACAGGGAGACCCTACAGGATTCCCAACTGGAAAACTCTTTCCCCACGGACTTGACTGCCTGGAATTCCTATAGCAGGAAACAAATCTTTCATGCCATCATTGGGGAAGGAGTTTAAATGTAAAAACACTTGAGGAAGAGATAAAGTCTTTTGAATTCTCTCCAAGATTTCAAATACTTTCCCAAGAGGAGGGCTTCTGTAGACATCATCAGGCCAGGTCCCTGAAGGTCTTGGAATAGGGCAAAGATGGGGCTTGGTGGAGGTGGGGCTTTCAAAAAGAGGTCGGGAAACTGAAGATGGACTTAAGCTTTGCACACATTTCCAATTCTGTTTTTCTCGTGGCAAACAGCACACTGGCTTAAGGGTTGTTTTTGTTTTTTAATCATGATGCATATAACACACTCCTCTAATGTCCCAGTGTTACAAATGGCAACATGACACTTGGACACAGTGAGGTTAGGATTACAGTAAGGATGTTTTTGTTTTGGGGTGGGTTTTTTGTTTTGTTTTGTTTTGTTTGCCTCTATCCCACCCACTTTCCTTCAGGTTGCCAGCTACTCAGAAACTGAACAAGAAAAGTTAGGTAAATGAGGAAAGCTCTCTACCTTATCAATTATAATTGGAGATGGACGTAGGCAGAGCCCAGGGTCCCCTGGAGTTACCCCCCAAACCCCCAAACCCTCAGTTAGAAGGTGCTTTTGAAACACATCCTGAGTAGACATGCCCAGAATGACACAAAGCTCCAAAATGAATCAGGGCTGCCTGAAATAAAATAAGAGGATCCCCCTCACCAAGGCCCCATCTTCCTAGATTCAGATAATATATTAAGTGATTAAGAGGACGGGCTCTAGAGTCAGCCTGGGACCAAGCCCTGACTCTGCCATTAACTAGCTGTGTGACCTTAGGCTAGTTTACTCCCCCACTTCTCTCATTCACACATGAAAGGAAGTTAATAACAGTACCTACCCCATAGATAGAGCTATAGTGAGGATTCATAGAAAATATATGTGAAAAGATTTGCACCAGATTCTAAGGATAAAAGAGCAAATGAAGTCCTTCCATCAGATTGTCACTCTTGTGTAATGAGGACAATTGAGGTAGCTTTAGGAGGGAGTCTCCTTGAAGCACGTCACCAAGTTACTGATTAATGGAAAGCAGCCATTGGAGCAGACAAACCCAGAAGAGGATGACATCAGAAACAGGACTTTAACTCTCTGGTCATCAGAGAAATGCAAATTAAGACCCTAGTTAGATATGATTTGTCTTCCTTCAAATGATCAAATATTAGAGAAAAATAACACCCAGAGTTACCACACATGCAGACAAACTGACTCTCTTGCCCATTGCTAAACAACTTTCACAAGGATAATGTAGCAATAAGTATCAAATGGTTTACAAATATACAGAAGTTTGAATCCAGTAATTTTACTTCCAGAAAAGAATCCTACTGAAATAAAGATGTGCAAAAGGATTTGATGGTGACAGGGCTCATCACAAAGTTATTTACAAAAAGGGAAAATAGGAGGGCCAGCTGAGTGGTGCGTTGGTTAAGAGCTGGCTTGGGACGCCAGCTCTGTGCAGCAGGGCCCTGGTTCGGATCCCACATGAGGGCCAGTGACACTGCCCTCTACAGCTAAGATGGTGAACAACAGCTCAACCTGGAGCTGGGATGCTGTGAGTCGCTGGCTATGGCGTAGGCTGCAGCCCCTGCTGCAGTGGGCTGCCATAAGCTACTATGTGTGTGGCCGGCAGCCAGTGTGAGTGGCTGGCAGCTGGTGTGAGCTGTCAAGAGCCGCCGTGAGCGGCTGTCCAGAGGCCAGCGACCGATCTGCCTCACCCAGGAAGAGCGCAATGATAATACCAACATGGGCCAGTAAAGCGACGTTCTCCACAACTAGACTGAAGAACAAAAGGACAGCAACTTGTCTGTTCCCCTTCCCCAGATTCCCCAGCGCTGTTCCCCTCCCCCAATTCCCCAATAAAATCTTTAAAAAAAAATAGGAAAAATTGGAAACAACCTAGAAATCCATTAAACTGGGAATGATGAACTATCTGTGGTACATTCTTGCAGTGAAATATTGTATAGCATTTCATAATCACAGGATTAGAACAATCTTTAATAGCATTGGGAAATGTTCACTATAACCTAAACAATAACATTGAAAAGCTCTGCATAGTATGATACAATTTAGGGAAAAGATGCTTAGGATAGAAAACAAGAATCTAGTTTTAAACAGTGGATACTTCCGGGTGTAGGAAAAAACATTGCAACAGAAGTTCCCTTGCTAACGCTAAGCAATTTAAGAAGACCCTGCAAATCTACAAAAGATCAGTCTGGGAAGCACACAGCACAGGAGCTGGCTAATAGTAAGGGCTAAATAAATGATAGCTGTAGTAATTAACTATGACAATAATACCTAAGTGAGAGTCTTTAGACAAAACCCATCCAGCCCCCTTGTCACTTGTCCACTTTTGTGCTCTTTTCCCATTGCCCCATTTTGTCCTTTAAAATGTTCTTGTGAATAAAGAAAATGGGGATAGTTTCTCCAACAAACCTGAGGATCCTGAGAAAGTGAAAGGACTAAAAAGAATAAAGAGAGAGGAGGGAGAGAAGGACTTACCACCTTTGGTATTGGGGGCTCTTTGTCCCTCACGAGCAGAGCTGGGGTCTCCAAGCTGGGACTAGTCCCTCCGTCCATTCACGGAGATTAGACATCAGGCAGAATTAGCAGGGAGGGCTCTGGAGGTGGGCCTGGGAAATTTCGTCTTTTAGGCTAACTCCCGAAGCCCTCAGCCAGGGGCTCACTCTGTTTGTCCTACAGACTCCCTTCTCGCTGTCCCTATACGCCAACAAGGCACACCCTGCCTGTCTGCCCCTGATAAAGGAACAGAGCTAAGAGGCGCCTCCCTAAAAGCGAGGGAACTTCTGGGTGGAACCAGGTTTGAGGGACCTTTGCCCCTCAGTTTCCTTTTCCCCCCAAGCTGAGTACATGGAAATCCCCTTTTATATGTTTTGATCCTAAAACACTCTTTCTGAAAAGCTTGCTCTCATTTACTTTCCAAATCTGAGTAAAATTGAAGATTGGTTTCAAAGACACCCACCAATTAGCCATCTTCTTTAACTCACTACCTTTATCTCCAGCTGCACTGTCACGTGTGCTTTCTGACAAGCAAATTTGCTTGCTGTCTCCCAACATGTGATAAACCCCTTCCTGCCTGTGTTGACAGCTTTTCTTATATCCATAATTGTAAATTCATAACATCCGTAATTGTATCCATAACAATGCATTTATGTACTTTCACGTATGTTTTTCAGCTTTATTGAAATATAGTTGATACATAACGTTGTGTAAGTTTAAGGTATATAATGTGATGATCTTTTTTTTAAAGATTTTATTGGGGAATTGGGGGGAGGGGAACAGCATTGGGAATCGGGGAAGGGGAACAGACAGGTAGACAAGTTGTTGTTTTGTTCTTCA